ATACAGTCCATACCTGTTGGGCTCTCCATGCCACATGCGGGGCTACGGCTAGCACTGGCTGCATCCAGTGCACTTGCTGGAGACCCACAGGCAGCGCCACGGCCCAAATGCTAGGGCTCCACAGTCCAGATGTGGCCCATGGGCTGTATCTTTAATACTCCTGGTTTAGGTTACTGTAAGTCATTTTGCTGCTTGGTACCAATTTTAAATATTCACACGAAAGTTCCTGAGGCTTTTATTACTTTACATCACGTATCATTCGCACTGTTGTTTGCAGCATCACCTGCTCTCACCTGGGCCGCCGCCCGCGCCTGGGGTGGGGGCAGCCGCCAATCAAGCCCGGCACCACAGCTGCAAGCGAGGGGCCCGCGCCCAGCTGCTCCCTCCCTGTTCCCAGGGGACAAGTGATAGCAACAGGCCCGGGAGGCTTTACAAGCCGGAGCACTGAAGAGAGAGGCCCAGCCACAGCCTGGCTCCTCGGCCCGCACGTGGCCGGGCTCCCGCGCACGGCTCTTACCTGCCGCCGCCCCCGCCGAGGTCCCGCAGCTGCGCCGGCCCCTGTCCGCCCGGCTCTCTGTGTCGGGCCCTGGGTGCAACAAACGGGCCGGCGGCACCTGCCGGGGTCTCCATAGCGACAGCACAGCGGCCGCGAGCCCGGCCCCAGGCAGAGCCGCGCCTCCTCCTCCTCCAACCGCCGTCGGGCCCGCGCCCCTCGCAGCCTCCGACGGGGGGGGGGGGGGCCGCACCAAAGCTTTGCTGTTTTTTTCACGAGTGTGTTCAGCGGCTACAAAGCAAAGGGGACTAGTGGAGGCAGGGCAGGGAAGGAAGGCTGCCTTCTGCCCGAGGCAAACCCCTCTGCTTAGAGGTGAGTGGATGAGAACCGCGCGGAGTTTGCCAGCCTCGGCAAAAGTCTTCAAACAACAACCGGCTCGTTCCTCTGTAAGGGCGGTGGGGACCCCTGAACAGAGAGGCCTGCTTGCTCCAACGCCACTTCGGCCTATTTGGTTGCTCCCTTTTGCTTCAGGAGGGGTGATCACTGCGACCTGTGGGCTGGAAGGGGAGATTCTTAGCACCAGGCCAACTAAAAGGAAACCCTCAGCTTCATTCTTCAAATAGTGTCTGGAAAACAGTTGCTCCCATTAGCAGAAAAGGAAACTTCTTAAATGTTCATGGGCGACTGGTGCCTCCCGAGTCTGGGGGGGCACCAGATTGCCAGGGGGCCCGCGGCCAATTGCGGAGCCAGCGGCAAAACCAGACGTGCACTTCCACTGTTGAAGCTGGTGCTTCCAGGGGGCACACGGGAGATCTCACCCGTGTGCACCCCCTACGCGTCGCCAATGTAAACGTCCATGGCTAAAATTGAAAGAACTTTCATGCCAGTATTTTCCAGATATAAAAAAGGAACAAATTAAATAAGTGAAGAAAGGTGAAGACAACACCGAACAAGTTTCATAGTTTCTAGGGTCGGAAGGGACCTGAGTAGATCATCTAGTCCGACCCCCTGCCATGGCAGGAAAGAGTACTGGGGTCAAACGACCCCAGCAAGGTGTACATCTAAGTTTTTCTGACTGTTTCTCATTAAGCTGAGATTTTCAGTTTAATTCTCTTCTTTTTTCCTTCCTTTTCTAATGCTGCTTGCTGCCTTTTACTGTGAACCTGCTAATTATCCTAATTATGATATTTCAAATGGATGGCTTAAGCACAAACTGTTGTGGGACGCCTCTGATTCTCACTGATGAATTTTGTGGATTCCACAGAAGCATGAACCATTTCATGGTCTGGAAAGTGAAAGTTTGTGCTGGTGGAAAACTATATTTTTCCTTCAAAACTGCTAGTCTCAAACAATTCAGTTTTCTTCATAATAAATTTACAAATGATCTCAAAGCCAGTGAAAAGTGAGATGGAAGGATGTTATATTATCACCACAAAATTACTACTGCAATAATTTTTTTTCCACTTTAATAAAATTTACAAATAAACAGCAGGAGCCGCATGCAAATCATCACTCAATGAAGTTTCATACATTATGGTAAACAATAGTGATATGGGTGATCATGCTGCAAACATTTTAGGACTCGCCTTAATTTTACTCACATATTCAGTTTGGTTAATATAAATTGAACTATTTGCATAGTTAAAATTAAGCACCTGCTTAGTTGTTTTCAGAATTAGAAATGTAATGACGGTAGATTTTTTCATATCGGTCTCTCCAGTATCTATCCTATTTTGTAAATTTGATTTGACTTAAAAAGTATTCATCACCTCTTTCTGTTAAAAAAGTTGTGCTAAACCCATAAAAATAGTGCTGTTCCACTTTTTCCTATGTTGTATTCACTGTTTATAAAACTACTCAATTTTTTGTTGCT